ATATTTCATATATTTGACCAAATGAAAAGTCTTTGTAAAACGTATGACACCAAACATCTTCGAAACTAACAAGTACAGTTTGTGACACCGACGAGTGAATATTAGGCCTATTTAAAATCCAGACTTTTATTACTATTCGGCTTCTAGTCCGCTTAATTATTAAATTACTTCTTGTTGCAATTACTATTCAGCAGTACAATAGTATACTAGGGGGCTTATCGCAGAGTAATAATAAAATTTTGCATTTCATATTCAAAATTTTATTACTTTCATACTTCCAGCGAAGTATTTAGATCTATTTTAAATTACTATTAATATTTTTGTTATCCGATTATTATAATAAATTACCTATCGTTTAAGTATTTATGTATAAATATTTTATATATTTAATTAAGAATATTCGACGATCCCTCGACGACGACGAGGAAACTGTTTATAATTTAATATAACGTTTGTTTTTCATTAATGATAAATAAAATTAATTTAAGTTATTGAAAAATTTCCTGGGGTCTTTGAAATTATCTATATTAATATTATAAAGAGGTGATGTTTGTAAGTATGTAAGTTTGTATGCAGCGGGTAATCTCCGAAACTACTCATCCGATTTCAAAAATTCTTTCACCAGTATTTAGAATGGAACTTCGGGGTGGACATAGGCCGTATATTATTCCGTTAAACATTCATATAAATTAAATGATATAATCTATGGTTAAGGCTTTTTTGTCCAACAGATGGCGCTACGAGTACGACGCCCTAAGTTTGCTTTTCTGTGAAAATGAACTAAAGCGGATCATCTATCTATCTATAGAAATAAAAATGTAACGTTCGTTTGTTCCTACCGATTCCTTTGAAATTTTGACACAACGCTGCATTCGAATACGCACGTGTTTTTATATAATATACGTGTCGAAATTCAACCCAACTGAAGGAAGATGGTTAGGATTAAGGCTTACGGTAAAGAACTCTGCTTCTATTTATAATAGGTACATTTTGAGCCACAACAACGCTGGCGGGGTCTGCTAGTTTACAGATAAAGACGAAAAGCATTTTGTGAAGATTTTAAAAAAGATATTTGATAATAAATAATAGTCTATCGAGAAAATTTTGTAAAAATGGTAATATCACCGCGGACGATTTAATGGTGACGTTTTAAATATATTATTTATAATTCACAAATTAATTAAACTGTTGTCTTAAATGTCCTAAATGTTGTAGTAGACCCCATACAGAGTGGCGCGTGGTTAATCAAGTAGTAGCTGGACTAAGAAATAGAATTTTCGAAATGTTTGTCTTCATACACAATCAAATTCTATAGGCGTTCATAAAATTGTTGATGAGTATGGTGTCTGACCGTTGTTAAAATTTTTTTATTGCATTATATTTGATGCGATTTTCAAAAATATGAAGGTTTCCTGTGTAACAATTCTCCATTTCGTTGACCGTTTATTACGTAAGTTAAATTCATATTTTGCCGATTCCTTTTCATCGACGGTAACTTTACCTTCTCTATGCTGTTTGTAGTCAAAACTTTCGATTTCGTTGTTGTAATAATTTGGAAAAGTTAAATCCCAAATCTTTTCCATTTATTAGTATAAAAATTTCTTTAATCCTGTTCCATATAAACTTTGCTTAATTAAAATATTCCTTACTCTATTCTCCACAGTCGGAGATTTTTTAGATAAAATACTCTCGAATTTATTTTTAACAAACTGCTTCGTCTTATTCCCAACAACAGATTTGGCCTGCTGTCTATTATTTGTAATAACTTCTTGCCGGCTGTCTTAATTGCATCGATAAATATATTTCCATTATAATATTTTTTAATTCCAACTAACAGTCTATGTTTATTGTAATTCATTTATTTAATCTAAAATTAAACGAAAAACAACTCTCTGCTTATTAAGATCGATCAAATTATCATCCTGATCAGTTATCCAAATTCACATTCTATAAATATAGGGGAGATCGGGGCAAGATCGGCATGTTAAGCTTTACTTAAATTTTGTGTAATAAATACTGCTGTAAACTGAAAAAAAAGCTTTGCATATTGTCTATTGGAATGTTACCTTACTATAGAACTGGTTAAAATCAGTTTGGAAATAAAAATAATTAAAATAATTACAACTTTACAAGAAGAGAGAAATTGACGAAGTTGCCCCGGGTATAGGGGCAAGATCGGCAACTTCTCTCTTTTTGTAAAGTTGTAATTATTTTAATTATTTTTATTAAAGTTGCCCCTGGTATAGGGGCAACAGTAATGGGGCAAGATAGGCACGTATATAAAATTATGTTATTAACAATGTATAAGTTGGAATTCACTATTAAAACAAAGAAATACAAATCCAACACCCATTTAATATTATTACAACGAAATGCAAGTTCAAAGACATATATACATGAATAACAAATGCAAACATGTTTTCATTTATCATCTGTTTGATTTTTATCCTTTGCTTCTAATGTGGCTTTATGTTGCCGATCTTACCCCGCTAGTCATGATTTCGAAACATTAAGTACAACCCTGAGAACAGAATGCCAAGCCACGATCTGGCCACGTGAATAAGTTGAAGTTACATCCTTCTAACAGGAAAAGTAACTTTCGTTATCATGGAATTATAACAAAACCTGCCAATTCAATATAAATGGAAAAAAAATATTATATGGAATTGAACGAAAATGAAAATTTGCTTGATAATTCAACTACGCTTGTTGGAGAACAATAAAAACACTACACTCAACAAGCCACCAATAAAACTCAACTGCCTAACCTATAACCAAAGTCTCCTTTTAATTTGTTTTTTAAAAAAAGCGCTTGACAAACTTGCCCCGCATGCCGAAGTTGCCCCGATCTCCCCTAATGATTTTTATTAATGTCGCAAATATAGGATTAGTGTCTACAATTTTTATCAAACTTCCGGGTGGATGAGACGGTGTAAAATAATATAGAATATCACTCCTGAAATCGTTGTATCCATAAGACATTAATTTCAAAGCTAATTTCGAATTATATACAGGTATTGGATTTTTAAACTCGATTGTAAAGTCTTCTGATTTATCGGTATTTTTCGAATCTAAGAATATTAGTTTCATTTATATAAAACAAAATTCTCATTGAACTCGCTCGGTTCTTGCGTAAATGAGTATAAAACTATTGTGATAATAAAGTAATTTACATTATAACGTTTGCATATTTAATTTAACAACTTATATGTTTATTCACAATACTTATTATTCACGTATTTAATTTTTAATTATTTATTTTAACAGAAACGTCGAAGAAGGAATAAATGAAATTAAAATTCGATTGCGACAAAAAATAAAAGAAGTAAGGGAAATACGTACAAAATGACATAGGCAACGTAATTCGAATTTGGTGGTCTCGAGCCCGCAACTGACCACGACACTAAGTTATCCGAGCGGCTTTTACTAACCTGTCAAAACGTGAACGCACTCCTCTCGTTCGCCCGGGTGTCACGGCCGACGAGAAGCGTTGATACGTTACGAGTTTTTTTCCCCACAAGAAGTTTTTTGTATAGTACGTTTTTCACTATTTTCTCTATTTGTGTAGAATTTATTTCCGTAGCAAATAAATGACTGGTGGCTTTGTTACTAAGGCGCTTGACGTTCAACACTTCGGTAATGTAAGAACGCCGATTGGGGGGGATTTTTATTCCCTATCGTCGGGATGGTTTAAGGTCTTAGCGTATGTGGGTGGCGGTTTTTAAAGGCAGCAAAGACAAGTGTTTTACAGAAGTAAACCGTTTATTCCGGACGATAATGCTTACATAAAGTCTTTCGTTGACAAAGTCCTGTGTTATAGGAAAACTTCGACGTCGGTACCGGTCTTGCGTCGTCAGTAATTTCGGCGGCGATCTGGTCCAGCGTCGTAGGGGTTTTCTGGACAGTGTTGAGAGAAAAAAGTTCAAAGTCTCTAACGTCGGTGCACAAAAGAAGAACAGAGGTACAAAAATAAGCGGAGACGACACGAACACAACAGAAGTCTAGGTGGGAGTCTTGGTGGAAGTCCTGTTGTCCTTGAATTTTGCGTTTTTATAGAGTTTTTGCGATCGGCTTCTTACTAATTGGATAGATCTTACATCACTGTTTTCCAATTGGTCATCCACCTGTCTCCAGGTGTAAATAGAGCTTCGTAAAGTTCGCGGGAAAGGTTGGCTGGAAATGGTTTATCCGACACCATCTTTTCGAATCTGATCTCGTTTAATTGTTGACTATGACACCTACCCTCATTTTGACATTTTTTTTAGTTTCGTTTTGCTTTCTAAACTACGTCTTAACTTTAATATTTTAAATTTTCTTCTTTTATATCTAAAATTTTGTTTTTCCTGTTATTCTTTATGAGCGCTGACTTCAAAGTCCGGTATCGCCGATTCGATACTTATATAATTTGCTTTCTTGACGATTTAACTTAACAAATTTTTACATGTCTTTCCTTTTTGGGGGGGCTATTTCCAGGGCCTCACAGTAATGAGGTCGATTTCCATTGCCGTCGATGATAAGCCACGTCGTTTTTCATGATTACTGTGCTTCCGAGTGGCCATAGGTTACACCATCACGATAGTGGGAAAATGAATACTCGAGTGGTCCCTTCCTTACGTCTCGCCTCTCTCATCCGGAATAAGACCCGATCTACCTATAAACGGTGATCTGGGGTCGTGCTAAGAGACTCAGTCGAGCTGCTTGTTTACGTATTAAATTTGTAAAACTATTCGTAATAAATTAATAAAGCATTTTCAACAATATTTCTGTAAATTTCTTTAATGATTTGTGTTCAAAATTATAATTGAATCAGTGTTAATACATATGGAATTATCTCGTATTTAAAACTCGTTTCTTTCCCGAAATCAGCAAATTATTCAAATCTTTAAAAATTGCAATCATTTGGAAGTTTTTGTATATTATAATTTACTTTAAATATTAATTAATATCTTAGAGAAACAAACCAATTTAGAAGATAACCAATATTTTTTATTCAAAATTTATGGTAAAAAAAACAATTTTTCATTGTTTGTTCGTAGATATATGAAAGCATTTGATTACTTTAAAGTAGTAATTGGCACTTTTGTCAATCTTATGTAGCTCTTTCCCGATGGAACAGGAAAATTTTCCACACCTTGAGGAAAGAGTTTTGGTAATTCTTCTTCCTTGACAGATGGAACTACCATGCAAGTATCGCCAGGCTGAAAAACAAATTAATTGAATAAATACACGTATTATATTTAATTAAATTTATATATATCTTTCATAATTATATCTTACATTCCAATCGGCTGGAGTAACTACTTGGTGCTTCTCTGAAAGTTGAAGAGCATCTAATACTCTTAACACTTCACTGTTAAAAAATATGTTATTTAACGATACACGTGTATATATTCAAAATATTAATATTTATTATGTAAATTCTTACGAAAAATTTCTTCCAGTAGAAATTGGATAATGAATCGATAGTTTCAACTTCTTATCGGGTCCTATGATAAATAGCTAAAAGATAATTTGTAACGTCTTAAATTAGAATTCATCATCTTTTTTAAATTATACACAATATGTTCTAAGTATTTAACATTATATTATTTTATCTATTTTTTTACCGATTATAAATACTAAAAATTAAATGCAACAAAGACAAAAATCTACGATACTAACAGAAATAGCTAATTTAGTCTCTCTTTTTTTATTTGTAAAGTTATATTTTACTTCTATGATAAATATTTTATCTTGAAGAACACACCCCACGGCACGTGACGGGTAATCCCTTCTTATCTTTGCCTTCTGGATCCAACATTTGCAATTTCTCAGCAATTTCTCTAGATTCGTCTCCGATAATTGGATAAGGGAAAACATCAAATTCAAAATCAGAATAGGCGCAGATATCCTAAAATATATTTATAACATTATTTTCAACGTAAGAATGAAATAATCCAAACTTACATCAATAAAAACGAACTTTAACCCATCTTTTGTGATCGGCTACACTATCACAAGACAAAGCTAACACTTTAACATCTCTCTTACGAAATTCGGGTATTAACTGTGCAACTCTTCCTAATTCGGAGGTGCAAACCGGAGTATAGTCAGCCGGATGAGAAAATAAAATTGCCCATCTAAACAAATACAGAAAATATTTTTATTAAATTTTCTCAAAATACAACAATAATTTTGTATACTTAAACCTTTTTTTTACTTATTATAATTAAGTAAAATTTCTATTTACAATGATTTTTCAGCCTAGTCATTACTAGAATTAAATTAGATTTGTATTTATCTCTTGGACAAAAGTACTTACAGATAAATTCGTCTCGTTTGATAAGATCTCTTACGGTATAAGTTATTTCAAGGTTCTTATGTCAAGGTCCTTATGTTTTGAGCTAACGAGTGATCGAGTGGATAAAAAATACAGAACACCGGTAGTTGATCGTGGGCTTGCCACGTTCTTCGGGTTTTATTTACGTATCTAACACCTATGGTATAGTTTCCCATAGAAAGTTCTCCTGAAAGACACCTCTTTGACAATAACCGATCCGAAAATCTTTAAGAGGAGGAACCTCTTAAAAAGTCTTCGGATATATCTTGGAAATTTCTTACTACCTGAGAAACCAGGCATTACTCGGAAAACAATGGAAACGTATCAAAAGATTCTAAATAATTTATAATTAGTATGATTTACCTTCCTCTAATAGACATAAATATAATAACGATAATAAAGTATATAAAAATATAGTTTAATAAATAAATGATAATAAAAAATAGATTTTTAATTTTAAAAAGAATAGAACAAATATATGTTAAATATATTTACTAACTTATTTTCCAGCCACTCGTGGAATCGAATTTTTCCGTAAGTGGTATCGGCTGTGAAATCCGGAAATTCTTGACCAAGGTTCAACATTTTCTCAGCTTAAACTGGCGAGATGTGCAATGAATTTATCTCTTTTATATACTTCAGAAAGAAATCTATCTTATCTTCCTCGTTTACGACCTATTTTTTTATTATTAGATAAATTCTACGGGCCAGAAATGGGTGATCTCACTTAATATTCCTTCAAATCAAACAAGTGAATTTTAATTATAGTAATAATTTAAATTTAAACTTATTTTACCGATTCCTTTCTATAGGGTTAAATACTATGGGAATAAAAATGGAGCGAATTCGTTCTATTTAATTATTTTTTGAATTGTGAGAAAACAGACGTGTGAACAGAGAAAACAGAATTGTGAGAAAAATCCTAGTTTAAATCAATGTTATTTAAATATTAGGAATTATTATAACAGAGCAGCCAGAAGTTCTTGACCTCCTTTACCTTTGTAACTAAAAAATTAAGAATAAATCAAAATCAAATAAGTACAGGAAAGATTTAAATGTGACGAACACTTAAACGTATATGTACAGATCTACAATATCTTACTCGCTCTAGTAGCTAAATCCAGTTGTACAGGGGTAAATATAGATTTGTACGTTTTAATTCGAGGCCCCCTAATAATGGCTCTAGTTATATTTCTGAATGATCGTCAATAATCAAGAGTCAATTTTACGAAAAAAAAACGTAATCTTTATCTGTTATATCTGAGATGACATTGAATTTAAACAGGAATTTTCGAGATTGGTATTATTTATACTCGTATAATAATTTAAAACTATTTTATGATGCTAATATTGTACAAATAACCTTTCAAATAAAAATTGACGATAAACTCTATTTAATTAATTAGTTAAAAAATAGATTATAGTTTAGTAAGCACCGCAATAGTTAATTTAAATTTTCCTATCAAAATTAAAAATTAAGTTTTTTTTTATGAAGATGACCCAAATAAAACATTTTCCTGTTAAATATTTCTTATTGTTACTTTACTTTCAACTCATATTTACTCTTAATTAGGGACGCCAAGAGGGGAGCAAAAGGGGTAAATAGTCCCTATACAATTACAATTTTAGTTTTCTTCTTTTACTTTAATATAGTAATTTAATTTGTTGCTATAAATTGAACTGTCTTTTGTTTGCCGATGATATTGTAATATTTTCGTATTCACCTATTGGCCTTCAGAGGAAACTTAATCTTCTACAGAATTATTGTAAGTCTAATAAACTACAGTACTTATTAATTAATGGGGCTATATCCAAAATAATGGTTTTTCGGAGAGAGGACAGATTGGGAAAAGCTGATAAATTTTATTTATGTAACTCTAAGTTGGAGATCTTTTCGTCTTACAAATATTTGGTATCTATTTTACTCCACAGGGCTCGTTTTCTTTTCACCTAGATAAATTGTTTTTGAAGTTTATATTTCAAATGAAGCATGGTTAGAATGAAGCAGTCTTCTATTAAATCATACTTCCGATTGTTCGATTCCTTGATACCCTCAAGTTTGGGATTTATGATTCCTATTTGGAGACCATTGTGAGGCTCTGGACAGGTCCGAACACTCACTAAAATTCGCGTTAAAATAATTGTTTTGAAGAAAATAATATGTTAGTTAGAAATAGATTTTTATTTTATGAAAACGCGACACTAACTTTTAAACAATAGAAGAATGTAAGTCCGTCGACCATTTCCGGTTGGAGATCGAATTAAACTTCGATTTTGACCTCTTCCACGCCCTCGAAAGGTTTAGAATTGTCATCAGGTGACGAGGAGAGACCAATCGGAAAGGGGAATCTGAGAGAAAACAGATAAAACCCCGGAAATTCGAGGACGCGACGGCTTCTTCTCCCGAAAGTTCCATGTGACGGATCTGTTGTTGTGTGTGTGTCTCGCACCCATCTTCGTCTCCATCTCCCGACCTCGGATCGACATCTTTCCATCAACGGAAGTCGACCGCATCGTCCCGGAGTCATCGAGACGTGATGGAATGGTTCATTCTCGAACAAGGGACACTCCTTCAAAATGGGACTATCGTGGAACCACAGGAGAGGAAGACCCAGCGACAGCAACCGCCGCAGAACTTCCAAGATGGCGGAAATTTTGTAAGCTTCTTTCGTGTTTAATAAACGGTTGTGTTGTTTGTAAACGAAGCATCTATCTCTGACTCAACTGCTTCCACATGTCGTTGATTGTTACCGCTTGGCAATCCAAACGGCAGGGGAGACGATGACGATATATATCACATATTATCGTTCATCGAGATAGTTTTTTTTCTTCCCCCTCGGCCCCACACCATCTCTTGTCGATAAACTAGAGAAGATGCAACTGAGATTTATCAGATCGATATTTCATATTATTCAATGCTTACTATATTCAATTTCCTGATTAAAAAAAAAAAACTCATTTTAGATGAACTTTTTCAGTCATTAAAAGATAAATATTGGGCCCAAGATATTCTTTGTATTGAGCAAAAGTGTAGCTTTTTTGAAACTTCTTTATTACCCCCATAGACATTTCGACATTATCAAACTTAAATTATAAGATTAAATCTTTAATAATACAACTACGACTCAATGACTATACTATTGTATTAAATGGGCATAAAATGAATATATCTACTTACTCCAATTGTCCACTACGTAACAGATTTTTTGAAAACGTTGAGAATCATTTATTTGTATCCCGTGAACTTACTGAACACTTAAAGGATACTTTTTTGGCAATTGACTTTAATATGTTTTGTTTATATGATGATAACTAGCTGTTACCCGCGACTTTGCCCTCGAGGATTTTGCGAGCAAACCCTATTTATATTCAGTATTTCAGCAAACATAGTAATTGTTATATAACGCCTACCGCTGAGAATGATGAGAATTGCCGGGAATCAAACGAACTATTTTCAATTTCATCAATTTTCTGGAACGTTGTTATTGCATATTGGTTTTATAATCGAACCAATATGCAATAACCAATTCGAATTTAAAATGGTTCGAACATTTTTAAAATCGAAATAGATAAAAATATTTATAACAATGTCTGAAATGTTATCAATTTAATACATCTAAGTACTCAATGAAAATTAAACGTAGTTGAAAATGAAAAATCGCATCTAAAATAGTACAGTAGAAGCCGTTCTTCCGGTTAAGACTTAACCCACTCTCTCTCCCCCCGCGGGGGAATTTCGAAAAATCCCTTCTTAAGGCTGGTATACACGGTAAGGAAATCCTTTGAGGATTAACCGTGTTTTTTTTTCTATCTATCCATTTTTAAATAAAAATAATTATTTATACGTTGGGAGATATTTTAATAAGTTTTGTAAATTACTATGTTCGATCCAGCCAGTTATATCCGAGTTTTTTTCGTCTGTTAAGCACATCCTTTGAGGATTTCCTTACCGTGTATACCAGCCTT